CAGGGTGCTCTTGCAGAAGATCTGGTTTCAAATATCAGCACCCATATGGTGGCTGACAGCTGTCAGTAACTCCAGTTCCAGGGGATCCTCCGTGGGCATTGCACAACATGGGTGTACTTACCTACATGCAGGCATAACACTCATACACATAAAATAAAAATAATAAAATATTTAAAAAAAAAAAAGAATTGGCACAAGGGGAGAAGAGCCCCACCGCCCCAGGCTCAGAAATGCATCAGGGTCTTAAACAAAAGTCTTATACGGTGTGGTGGGACTTAAAGATTGGAATTCCTTGTCATAAACCAAGTTCCAAGTTTTACAGAGTTTGAAAAAAAAGTCTAATATTTAATGTTTCTTACACCACCTGAGCCATCTCGCTGGCCCAATGTTCCTCTTACTTTAAGAGTGTCTTTTGTCTTTAGTTCTATTTAGTCATTAGGAAGGTGTGATGGTTAATACTGATGGTCAGTTTGACAGGATCTAGAATTAGCTAGAAGACAGTCGTTTGGCATGCCGGTGAGTGATTTTCTAGATTGGGTTAACTGAGGTGGAAAAAGACACCATAAATGTCCCTAGCACCATTCATGGGCTGGGATCCTGGACTGAATATAAAAGGGAAACAGCTAAGCACCAGCATTCATCACCTTCTGCTCCCTGACTGTGGATTCAGTGTGACCAGCTGCCTCAAATGCCTGTCACCTTGCCCTCCCTGCTATGATGGATTCATCCTGATGTGAGCCGGAATAACCCTTCCTGCCTCAAGATGCCTCTGTCAACCATTTTGTCGCAGTAACGAGAAATATAACCAAATAGATGGTGAATGCTGTGCACTGCGTTGTCTCTCAGAAGCTGTGACGTCCTGGCCCCCAGTGCCACAGGATGTGACTGTATTTAGAGATGGACTTTAACAAGGGGGTGGGCCCCTGTCCAGTAGGACTGACGGTGAAGCCATACAACACACAGGTGGATCATGGGACGCATACCTGGAGACTGTCCACTAGCTGAGGAGAGAGGCCTTGGGAGAGCTTGATCCCGCCCATCCCTTGGTGTTGGATTTCTGGCCTGCAGAACTGTGCACACCACCATCCGTCACTAGAGCTCCGGCCTGTGGCGCTTGGTTATGGCTCCCCTAGCTAACAGGGCAGTTCTGGTTGGGGTCGTTAAAATCTTGGTGGCTAAATATTTACAGAATATTTTCCTTTACACTTTTCCCTCTGCAAAGCCAATTTCCCCGTGTCTGTTACACCCTTTTCTATGAGGGCAACAGCTTCTGTTAGAAATGACGGAGCAGCTGCTCCTCTCACCTGTGAGGGTCTGAGTTGACAGAACTGTGTGCAACCTGGATGGCTTCTGATGAATAAGCGATTCTACTTGTGTTCAGGCCTGGTTGGAGCTCTTAATTGTGTCCGGAGTGCCTCTGTGGATAGAAATTTACGGCTTTATAAGTGAGTGTTTCCACTTTAGGGAAGGGAAGCCCACAATTAGAAGGCCTTTGCTGCCTTTGAGGGTGGGGGTGGAGCCTGGAAGGAGGCTCACCAGAGCCCAGCCCACTAAAGCCTGGGGCCCCCCGGTGGCTGGGTGTAGGGAAGGTGGGGCCGCACACAGTCTGGCCTGGCTTGGAGATGGCCTGGTGTTGGCTTGGAGATGAGAGCCATGGGATGGGGAGGGGAGGCAGAAGCCAAGGCCAAGCCAGCACCTGAAGCCAAGTACTTCCAGGAGGGAAAGGGGAAAGGGGTGAGATCTTGGGGACTGTCCTAACCTCAAGGCTCAGCCCTGCCCTTTGAGATCCAGCGGAAGCAGGAACCTGCTTTCTGCAGTCAACCCTAAGCACCCTGCCCATTGCCCATTGCTCCATCTCCTTCGGGTTCCCTGAATCACCCTTTCTGCTTGCTTGCCCCGCAGCTTCTTTTACTATGCTGCCTCCTTCCCGTCTTTCCATTTCCTTCTTCCTCTTCCTTCCTGTTTGCTTGTGGGGAGGCCACACACAGTGAATCGCAGTTCCTCGGTGCTGGATTCTGCATCTGAGGATTCAGCTGACCACTGATCAGACATATTAGAACAGTAGCAGCTGTAAGAAGCATCACAGGCTTTTCTCCTTGCCGTTCTCCCCCTCGCAGCTCTAGTTCAAAAGTTATTGATGTGGCATGCTGTATCACGCCCCATAACTGCTGCAGAGAGGGAACCACATAACAGGCGATTTACCCTTTCAAATTAGGATTAGAGCATCTTTGGATTTTGGCATGGGTTCAAGAACCAGTGGACCAATAATGTCATCATATTTCTCCTTTGCAAAACCCCTCCTTTATCCTCCCCTCCTGAGGGACTTTCACCCCATACCCCTTTGCATTTCTGCAGACCCACCGTCTCCAAGGGAGGACCAAAGAGCAGGACCCTTGCTCCAGAGCAGAGGCTGTGCTTTGAGTGACACAGAGAAGGCAGAGGTGGGGGGTGTGGGGTGTGGGGTGTAGGGGGTTGGTCCATCTCTGTCATCCACTGTATGCTGGATGCACAGTTAGAACACCTGACTTCCATATTTTGTAAAATAGGGATGACAGGACTGGGCAAGCAGGTGGGCAGTGTTGTGACCCCCAGTTTACCTGCTTGTGTTGGTGTGTGGTGGACAGCCTGAAAATGCTGGCAAGTTCCAGAGCTGCAAGGGGCTTAGAAGCTTGTTTTCCTGGGTGCAGTGTGTTCCCCTCGCTGGTCTCAGGGAGGCCACAGCAGGCATTAGCTTCCCTTGGACATGAACCCTGAGTTCTCCAGCCTGCCTGAGAAAAGTCCTCTGGGGAAACAGTCTGCTACCCAGTGTCACCTTCTGCAGCCCGGGAATTTCCTGTGACAAGTATTGCTTCTCTGAAAATCCTTTGACAGGTCTCTTACCTTCTCTGTGAGTGGTTAGGGATCCCTGCATGAATTCCCCTTGTAACTCCTGCTGTGCCCTTGAGGAGAAGCCTTGCAGAGCTGGGTGCTGAGGACACAAGGTCCAGCCATCAGCTCTGGGTGCAGGGCACTTGTTAGCCCTCTTTGGAACATTTCCGTTATTCCACATCTTATTCTCTGGTTCTGGGCCCTGGGCCAGGACTGTGTACTGCTTACTTCCCAGTCATTGAGTTCTCTGTAAGCCCTTGAATGCCAAGTCTTGGAGGACCAGCCAACCACCTCTGGTCCTAGGAATGCCAGGGATGGACCTGGCATGAACCCTACCCTGGGCCCAATGTGGAAGAGGCAGCCTCATCTGGGATCTGTGCATCGAGGGCTCTTTGAGCCCCTGGATGCCGCTCTTGTCCCCAGCACCCTAATCCTGATGAAGCAAGGCATGGCTCTCCTTAGGCAGCCACATTCTGGGAACCCCTCCCCCCATGCACTAAGCCTGTTTTCATGTTTTCCACCAAGGGAGGGACAGGCTATCACAGAGGGCGGCCACCCAGGGTCAGCTGCAGCTGAGGATTTTTGTGGTCAGGGAAGAAATGAGTCACCCATTTTCTCTTCCCTGTAACTATCCTCGGCCTCTGGAGACCTCATGGGGTAAACTTTCGGGCAGTAATGGGGTGTGCTGTGCTGGAGGGGTCTATATAAGGGTGTCATGAGGGTGCAGTGCAAGTCAGCTGACCTTGTTTGTGATGTGAGTGGCGTGCTGCCTTGCAGAAGGGACCCAGGATCACCTGCCAGCAGGACACTGACAGGAAGTCGGGGTGAAGCTGCCATCTACTGGGGTAGGGTGGAGTAAATGTGGGGGCAGAGCATGGGAGATGGAAGAGTGCCCAGGATCGAAGGTGGGCGTGGCCAAGACCAGCGGGGGGGCAGGGGGGGGACCCTGTGTTAGGTGCTGGTGTTCCCAGTGGGGAGGCTGCATCTGATGTCAAAGATGAGGAGATTGGAGTGTTTCAGTGAGGAAGTGTGGGCAGATGCACACACTTGTGTTAAACCCTTCACATGTGGAATCACATTTGTCCGTTTCATTGTTACCGTGTTGCCTGTTCTGTGGTCATAGGGTCTGTGCCATTCCAGAGATGGAGCCTGGTCTCAGCCACCGTGTGCTCTGCAGGGCGGATGGAGGAGGGCGGATGGAGGTGCCAGGCTTAGGTGCCAGTTAAGAACCAGGCACTTTGCAGGTGAAAGTGGTTTACTGAGCATGATTGCCCCATGGTGGCAGGGCTGAGGACTGTTTCCTGGAAGTCAGCTGAGTGTAGGTGTGGAACAGGCAGGGTGCTTGGCCTGGGAATCCAGGTGGGAATGGATGAGGGAATGGGGAATCTCCTAGACAGAAAGGCGCATTCGCGCTTCGGGGGAATTGCAGCCACAGTTGGGGAGATGGGGGGCAGTGGCTGGAGGGCACACAGGCAGAGGGGCTGTAGTTCATTCACAGAAGAGGTGACTGTGATGCACACCACAGGGTTCATCTGCCAGCTCCAGAGCATGACCTGATGCCATCTGAAAGGGGCTAGGCAGCTTGAAATGCCTGGAGTGGGGTTTGGTGGCCAGGGCTGCAGTGAGGGACCCCATCATCCTGTGAACATTGCAGTAGGACTCCGTGATGTAGTCTCCATGTTCCCGCATGTTCCCTAGAGCCTCCTGGAGATGCAGGATTGGGGTGGGCCACATTCCCAGGTGACACCAGTGTGCTGGTCTGGGGGCGATGTCTGAATTGAAGTGTGGAAGGTTCTTTGGGGCACTCGCCAGTGGGGTCTGAGAGAGGCAAGGGACGGATGGAATAGTGCGTGCGTCATAGACCATGATGTTCTCTGGCCTTTGCTGGGTAGAGAAGGGAGAGCCAGGAGGCAGATCCAAGGGGCTGAGGTAGAAGGACAGGGCCTCTCAGTGCTGCGGCCGCTTTGGAAAAGACAGTGGGGACAGAGGCCACAACTTTAGGGCGGGCCGGCCCTAGGTAAACAAATGTGTGGTCATGGGAGCAGGCCTGCAGCAAAGGGAAGGAATAGCCTGAGTGAGCAGAGGTGAGGAGGCAGGTGTGCTCTGAGCTCCCTGGTTACCTTGTTTGTCATCAAACGGCCTTGAGGGAAGGATGAGAGGTGAGGGGGTGCAAGATGACCTCCCACCTCCCATGTTCTTTGCCATCAAACAAGCAGCAGTGTCTTGACCAACACTTGGCAGAGCAGTGCCCAGAGCAAGATCCAGGAGGTGGGAGCTGCTGGTCCCAGATCTGAGAACTTTAGTCTCTGTGCATGGCTAATTGTTCTCTGTCTTCGGCAGTGCTCCCAGAGACAGAGTGTAGCAGGAGGGAGAGCCTTGCAAGTTTTGGGGTGCTCTAAACTGCATGGCCGTGGCCCATTAGCTCATATTCTCCCTCAGTTTGTCTTCCTTTGTGGGAGATTTTGGAGCTGGTGGCAGCTTTGAAAGGAGACAGCTTGAGGACCAGCAGCTGGAGTGGCTGGACTCCTGACAGAGCCCAGGGTCCCCCACACCTCGCTGCTGTGGATGCTCAGCCTGGGGGCAGGGGTGAGGCAGGTGAGGAACCAAATGCTTTCCTCCCTGTTAGTGTCAGACTGGGTCTGGGGACATGTCCTCTTCCCCTGGCTCGAATGCAAATTGTAATCATCACGGGAGGTGGTTGCTGCAACACCTTGCCCTGGTTTCTTTATCCCTGGAGCTCCTGGGCCAACAAAGTGACCCACTGGTTGACAGAGGCAGGGGAGTGACCATATGCTTCCCGAGTGCTAAGGTAGGGGTGTGTGGTGGGGGAGATCACCCTTTGAAATAGGCTTCTTAGACATTATGTTTTTGACAGAGGGGGAAAAAAAATCTTCCCTTTGAGTCTGCTGGTCACAGATAAAAGATTTCCAGATGCGCCTGTCCTGGACCCTGCCTGGAATGAGAAATGGTAACTTTGGCTTCTTCCCCAGGAAGCGGGGCTCTGTGTGGATGGATTACCCCCCACCCCGGCAGTATTTGGGGCCTGGATTTGGAATTTGATTTTCCTGTACATACTAGGCCGTATAGATCTTTGAGGTCAGCAGATCTGAAGGAAACTTGGCAACACCGTGAAGTCAGGAGGTATATTTAGTTTTCGTTTGCTGCTATTTGTTTTTCCCGGAGCAGATGGTCAGGAAGATCTGAATTCCGACCCTGCTTTGCGTCTGGCTAGGAATGTCTTATGAAGATGTTATATGAGAAGAGTCTCCAGTGAGTCCCGCAGAGGGAAATATACCAGATAGTCCTGGTCCCCCTGAACCCCAAGACTAGGATGATGAGCTAATTTGTAGGGATTTCCCGATTTTCTGTAGACCTGTTGGCGTGGTGCCGTGCTCTGGCCTGACAGCCATAGTCCTCATTAGAGCAGCTGTGACTGTGCAAAAGCCCCTTAAGATCCGGCCTATTGACTGTCGACACTCCCTCATAGACACTCACCTGATGGCCTTTCTTCACCTCCTGGGCAGTTGTATGTAATTCTGCCCTAATTGCATGTAGCCTCATGGTCTCAGGAGGTGCTAGTCTGTAGAGACTATGAAGGTTAATGGAAGGGGGAACTAACTGTATCTCTGCGTCTGTGGGGAAGTCAGCATCTGTGCTGCACTGAGACTTCCTGGCTGTTTGGGGGTTACCAGCACTCCTGGGAGTAACTCCTCACCATGCTCTGTAAGCAAGCCCAGTAAACTCACTGGTTCCCCGGGTTGGACTTGGGAATCATACTTGGTTTGTTGTTGGTGCTCTATAGGAAGGGATAGAAGTTTCCATTCCTCCAGGGAGAAGTCCTGCCAACAACACCCCAGACACGTTTAACTCTCATCCAGGGATGTGTCTGCTGTGACTGAATCCTCTGATCCCTTCTCATCAGCTGCACATGCAGGTGCTGGTATTGTTGAAGGTTGGAGGGAAGACACGGTGGGGCA